CTCACAAGCGGCGCACTGTAGCAGTGCGCCACCGGGCCGGCCCTAAGAATCTTTTTTCATTTGTTTATTCCAGAAATTTTATTCATCACTTACTACATGCTTTGCACACAGTGTGCATGGTTTTCAATTAGACCATATGTTACAATCACCTGAGGAACTTTTAATCAAGTTTCACTTCAGACAGAATAATTGAGGTTTTCAACTAGGGAATGGCTATTTGTTGAAAGATTCCTGGTGATTCTAATTTGCATTCAAGGTTGATAATGACTGATCTAATGAGAAGTCTGCTTTTTTAAGTTAAACATATTCTTCAGAATCACTGCCTATTTTCGATCTTAAGAGCGTGAAGATGATATAGTTATGGTGTCCTTTTTCAGTCCAAATCTTTGATAATTAAAAGTATTACTGAAATCATAATACTGTGACTTGAGAAGTGCAAATGTATTAACTCAGACTTAAAGCACAGGCTCATAGTATTCCAAAGTGAACAAGAAAATTCTAGTGATTATAGAATTGATATTCCTTTTATTCCTTTGCAGCTGCCTGTTAACCTAATTCACATTGTTTATTCACAGGGGAGAGATGTTTTCTGGCATCTTCCACAGATGCAAGTGATTGATACAAAAAAAAGACACTCTGGCTTGAAGTGTTGCTAGGAAACACAGTTTGAAGATAAAATTCCCTACAGAGCTGTGTTCCACCCCATAATAAGTGTGGTGGTAACGTGCTGATTTAAGAAGTACAAAAATAATTTATTAGCTCTGTCTCCAGAGGGAATCTGTTATAGACTCATTTAAATAGCTTAATTTGGAAGTAGTTTTGGTTTACTTATGTTACACTGAAACATAAATAAACAAGTAATTCATTTTTTAAATTTGTGTAAAGATAAAATTACAAACGTATAATGAGATTTTGTTAAAATAATAACTTTTAAAAGAAATGTGCAAAAACACAATAATAAACTTATCTTAATTTTTGCTTTAATAATAATTTTCTGACCATTAAAGTAATGAATACTTCATCATTGAAAAACTTGGGTACACAGAAAATATAAAGAANACAAGTAATTCATTTTTTAAATTTGTGTAAAGATAAAATTACAAACGTATAATGAGATTTTATTAAAATAATAACTTTTAAAAGAAATGTGCAAAAACACAATAATAAACTTATCTTAATTTTTGCTTTAATAATAATTTTCTAACCATTAAAGTAATGAATACTTCATCATTGAAAAACTTGGGTACACAGAAAATATAAAGAAGATAATAAAGGTCACCTATAATGCTACCATATAAAAATAACCATATTTTGGTGTTAATTCTTTCATGTTTCATTTCTTCTAAATACTCAGGTCATTTTAGCTAAATTTTCAATTTTTTTTTCTTTAGGTATGTTCTGAGAGTCCCTGCCTTTTAGCAGGTAAATTAGTTTAATTTATTTATATTTATTGTGATTTCTTGTGTATCTTGATGTATTTCTAAAATCTTCTTTTATGTTTTGTTTTTGATCTTACTACCCATAATTTTTTTTTCTTTTTTCTTCCTTTGTTGCCTTCTTTTTGATTGGGTCTTTTGTGTACCTTGTATTTTTGAGATCATAATATATAATATTTAGTACTGCTTTTCCACATAATATTATGGTTTTGTTTTTTTTGTGTGTGTGATTCTGATATTAAGAAACAATTTGTAAGTTTAATTTTAAGGCCTCTCTAATATTTCATTATATCGTTCTACTATAATGTAAATAAATGAAGTTATTTTATTGGAATAGATTTCTCTATAAGGAACCACTGTATCAAAATGTCTGTACTCTTTTAGGATCCTTGATGCATATTACTAAGTAATTTTCTCAAAAGGTTGTCTTAGTTACTACTTCTTGTAGCAATATGGGAAAATATCAATTATTGCATCTATATCAACATAGAGAATTATTAGTTTTAATTTTGTGCAATTTTTATCAAACTATATAGTATTTTGAAAAAATGCATTTCTGATTCATTTATTAGTCATTTATATTTATTTGTTAATGCAAATTTCTAATCACATCCTTCATCCATTTATCTATTGTGATCATAAGTCTTTCACATCTGTAGCTGGGATTTTGTTTGTAGCTGTATCTGTAATCTTTTTGAATTTTTTGCACATTTATATTTTGCTTTTAAAATTTGTTCATAATTTTTATATATGCAATTTTAAAGTTCTCCCTTGTCTTTTCTTCTATTCAGCAATTTGGTATATTTATTTTCTTTTTTCTCTTAGTTTTTTTTTTTTTTTTTTTTGTTTTTTTTTTTTTTNGTTGCATAGTTTCCACATTAGCATAATGCCCCTCCTTGATGGTATCAGCCAGCCCTTGGCACACTATACAAGCTCTTCTACCCCCACACCTGGTGCTGTCCCCCATGTTGAACACAGCCCAGCAGATTCTTTTAATAAAGCTTGATTGGTACCGGTGTCTCAGCTCACTTTCTTGTAGTTGTAGAACTGAAGTACTCTATGTGTCTGCGTATATGTGTTTCTAATTCAGAAATGCCTTTGCCTCTCATTTTGTAGCTGTAATAAAGTCTCTTAAAAGAACTGTTTTGACTGTTTTATAGAGAAATAAGTGCTTATATAAACTGAACATTCCTAAATTCCCAGAAAAAAAAGAAATCAAATGTCTAATACTTATAAAGTGTTGTACTTAAAAAACTCATTCTACAGAAACAGCTAAATCAGAAACATTTTAGAGTTTAAATTTACATAATTAAGGTGCATATTTGGTAAATGAGACCAGTTTTATAATTAAGGTTTTTTTTTTTTTTTTTTTTTTTTTTTTTTTTTTT